ATATATATACATACATATATATATCTATATCTATATCTATACATATATATATGTATGTATGTATGTATGTATTTATATATATATTTATTTATTTATATATAAATGTATATATATGTGTGTTAATGTTTGAAATTTATTTATTTGCAAGGCTATTTATACTAGACTAGTACATGCTATCCACAATATCAGCTAGTTGTAATTTGCCTGATTGGATTGAAGTTTCACTTCTTGGAACCAAGAAAACGTGTGGTATATCTACTCGTGTGGCTATCAACAATGTTTTTATTGCGTTAGCAACCATAGAGATTAGGTACATCGGGAATTCTGCCGAGCTGCTCACACAGCCACTTGGTCCATATGTATTTAATTCCTCTTCTGTCCTTCACAGTAGTTGTAAAGGAGGCTATTCTGTTGGAAATGATCATGTCCAAGACATCTTATCTCAACAGCTTTCTCAAAGCTTATGTGCATATCGTCTACTATCAATCTCTACGTGCATAGGGTGGATCTAAGGCGAACTCCAGCAAAGCATCTACCGACACGTCTGACACCGGAAGTATGCGGAAACGCAACACCGGTACCTCTACATCGGGCACCACGACTTCAAGGAACGTCCACAAGTTTCGGAACAACGATGACGATGATCGCGACAAGGAGAGAAATGAAGCGTACAACGGCAACTCAACGGCACAGCAATAGATAAACCTGACTTGGTTTTTATAATAAATCGGAGATTTGATCATCTTTGTACGTTGAGTTTGGAATTAAATCTTATAATATATTCCGAGGAAGCAAATTCGTAACGTATAGCGAAAAACATCGGCTGTGATTTCACAAGTAGACATTGCTACTTCGTTGACAATGTGGTTGAGTACTGTAATCACGAAATAAAACTCTTTAAAATATTTTCAATTATAGTGATGTATCTTTACAGACCTGCATGTATAGTATGTTATCCATACATACCATTATACATGATGTATTTGTTGAGAATGCTTTCTCACCAATTCGTATACTGTGGGGATATACGTTTGAATCTAAAATGCAATATACAATTTTGAAATATAAATGGCAAGAAGGAAGCATTGGTTGCTTGCTCCGTATATTGCATTTTCCAGGTTCATTTGTATGTGGCTAAAATAAATATGAGTTTTCATGAAATACAAAGACTTAGGCGAAATATTTCTGGATATAAAATTTGTTTTGCGGACAAACTATGTAAGCTTATGCAGCAAGACTACACTCAAAATCTTGCACATATACAGAGACTATGTGTATGCGAGACCATGCACATATACAGAGACTATGTGTATCATGATTACAGTACATTTTATGCTCCGAGATAGATGGGCTTCATCTTTCACTACTTGTAGTACTTGCACCATATGTGTGCGCATACAAATGTGGCGATGTACGGTCTTAAAACGTACAAAGACTCTTTCGAGAATATATATATGCACGTAGCTCTGCACCCTTGGAGAACGGCAACAATAGAGGGATAGCTGAGAAATTTAGGGTTTACGAGTAAAAGTGCCTGTTTTGCAAGCACGAGACCATTGAAGGAAAAACAATAACAATAACAAAACAAGATTTCAAATAGGTTACCAACACAGTACGTCGTGTCTTGGTGTGTCGGCGGGGCGATGTATGTACTTTTAAACAAATAGTATAGCTTTCTACACACTCGCCGTATTCCTAAACTCGCTAATTTTACATTAATAAAAACTATAGTTGACGATAAATATAATACCACGCACCACAAAAAAAAACAGCCGACTGTAATCTTAGATCGACTCAAAACACAATGTAACGGTGAACTTTCGATTGTTGAATAAACGTCTACCTTAGCGGAATGAACTTCTTGAATGAACTAAACCGCGTATTTATACTATCTCCGAAGGATTTCCTTGAGTATCCTGCCGCCAATCAAATCGTGTATCTTCTCAATTTCGAGCCTACAAGTCCATTCAATATATATCGTCATCTGCCAACCTCCAGCTCATATTAACCCGCACTTCGGTTCGCAAAGCACCAATCACACACCAACCTCATCTTCTTTTGAGCCTGCGCGGCCGTTCGCCAACAAACCGCACAATACAACTTAGAACTTTTCAAACTTATTAGTTTTTACACTTATCAGTTATCGCCCACACTTAGAAGTTCTCGCACTCCTATTAACGCCCAGGAAAATTATCGAACAGTTCGGTACTTACAACACCAACATTGTTTTAGATCGGAGGTAAACATGGTTGACATTACACCTCCCCAATAAACAAGACATTAGTGTCGAGTTCATTCATTCAACCATTTACTCAACTGCTTCTTCTGAAAAATCGGATCCCTCGCAACCTGGAAGAACATCTGCAACTTGTCCCACCTGTTCTTATTGAAGTGATGCTTCATAGACAAATCCAAAGTATCCTCTACCACGCCCTTAATCTCACCTCGCTTCGCCGCATCGACTATCGTATCAATATATCAAAAGCTGATTTCATGGCATATAACCAAGTCCTCCCCATCTTTGTTGATCGCATTACTGCCACCATTTCTTCACGTTCTGTACCACTAGCTGCCCCTTCGAAATAAAAATAATTGTAGAGCCAGATCAAACAAGCTTCCCTCGTACGCATTCTAATACTGGCCTCATGCTTCGGATCCTCTAATCTCACCTTAAGCTGATCCACATGTTTTGACTTAACCTTCCCATTAATTATGAGCTTGTACATCCCTTGTAAGTGTTCCCTCATAACAATCGTGCCTCTCACTAAATAGGGGTTCGCCAACTTATTTTCTTTCGACCTACCAGTATACCAAACCAACTGTCCCGGCTGCCAATCTGCTGCCTCTATTCTATTCTTATCTGCCGACTTTGCCTGCGCCTCCTTCGCTACTTCATCTTTAATGGCCACCGATCTATTTCGCACAGCAGCTTCACTCAGAAGCTCTGAACCTATCACCTCTAACAACTTCGCCTAAATTACTCTATCAACCTGCCCCGTATAATGCCAGCCCGTAACATGATAGTATGGGCTGATACCCGTGGCCGAATTCACTGTCGCATTGTACGCCAACATAACTGAATATATATAGGCTGGCGATAAGGTCTCCTCCCCAACCGGCAAGCTCTTAGCAAGCCAATCCACAATCGTACGCAAGACCCTCTCTGCCCTACCATTGCCCTGATGCCTATTTACTGATACGTGATGGCATTCTACACATTTCATATTTGCTGAAGCGAACGGACCACCCTCATCCATCACTACCTTCTTAGATGTACCCCAAGGCAACACTTGTACAAACTCTAATACCCCTTTAGTATTCTTCTCTTCCAACGTGTATGGCCGACACCACACCATCCTCGAAAAATGATCTATGGCCACTATTATACTTTCGAAACCGTGGACTGTCCTTGGAAAGGTCAAATGATCCATGCCTATACATACTGCAACCCCTTTCGGCCTCTCAGGCTGCATTAACAACCCTGTAGTCCCACGGAGCCCTTCATCTTGTTGACACGCAACACAACTCTTCAAAACCTTCACAACCTGCGAACGCAACATTTCTTCTCCATAATTAACCTTCAGGAACTCCCATATTCTATCTACCCCAGTATGAGCTAAAGTCTGATGCACCAGCGTAATAACGTACTCCTGCAAAGGCTGAGAAAGTTCTGGCCATACACTTAGACGAATACACTTAAGCTGTTCGCTAG